AAAAGAAAAGTCTTTACTCTCGGATGTCATGATATTCCCAAGAAGTCTACAAAAATTTTTTACAACTAATAAGTATGTTTAGCAAGGTCCTAGGGGACAAGGTCAGCATACAAAAATTGATCGTATTTCTATATACTAGTAAAGAACACATGGAAACCCAAAGTTTTTTCAAGGTACTATTTGTGATAATGACAATACTGATGAAATGAAATACTTAGGAATAAATCAAGCAAAATATGTGCAGAATCTAGATGAAAGAACACTAATGAAAGGTTTTGTTGTTGTTGTTTTAAGAAATAAATGGAAAGGCATACCATATTCATGGACTAGAGAAGTCTGTATTGTTAAGACATCACTTCTACTCACACTGAATTTTAGATTTAGTGCCATCTGAATCAAAATCTCTCCACTATAGTTTCTAGGCACCAACAAGCTGACTTTAAAATTCATATGAAATGAAAAAAAAATCATATGAAATGGCAAAGGGAATAAAATAGTCAAAATCATTTTGAAAGAGGTACAAAATTGGACACATACTACCTCATTAAAGCTGCACTAATCATGACAATATCAGCTGAAGCACAGGCAAGCCAACTATGGCCCATGGGCCAAATCCAACCCACTACAACCCAGCCTACAAAGTTAAGATTGGTTTTGACCCCTTTTAATGGTTGGAAGATCTACCCTCAACCACTGTTACTGAACAATGAATAGCTTTGAAGTTAGCTTTTACAGCGCTCGTGTGTGAAGCTTACACTGCAGTACAGTCATTTAGATGACAGCCAACATTGTTTGAATCACAAGTAATCGCAAACCACTGTAAGCACTTCGCATGCTATCAAAAGATAAAACAAGAAATGAAATCTTCATTCCCACACAAATTCACAGCAGATATATCTTCCAAGCTCAGACTACAATTCCAGCAGCATTTTTTTCCACATTTTTACGCGATGTGTAAGTACAAAGGAAATTTTCGTATTTCAAAATCCATTTAACTGCGTTTGAGGAGTTTCTACCTCACCTTCAATTGGTGGCAATCTATAATGTAATGACATGCTAAAAGGCAAATATCAAGAAAGGAATCTAACTGAATTCTATAAATGCCATTCAAGCCATGAATACACTCCATTGAAATCATATTCATGGTGAAACACACAAAATCTTATTACAAGTCAGTTTTAACAGACGAAGGTTTACAATAAATTTTGATGGTAGGGGATGCTGCCTTTGAACCCCAGCAAAGCAATATGTTATCCGAAGAACTTCATTTTTCTCATTAGTAGATACATATTGCAAAAAATATACATTTTCAATTATACAAATGTCACTAATAAAATTTTTGTGGAAACTTGTGTCTTATATAACAAGTATCTGTATGATGTCCTGAATGTTGCCTCTTGGCATGCAGAGCCTAAAAAATGTAATACTAGGTGCTTTACAGAAAAAACACACAAAATCCTGGACTGAAAGAATAAAGATACACAGATCAATGGAACAGAAGAGTCCAAAAATAGATCTTCACACATGTGGTCAATTTTCCACAAAAGGGCAGATCAGTGGAAAAGGAAGTGTCTTTTTCACGGATGGTGGTGGAACAGCTGGAATCCACGTATGGGGGGCGGGAGTAAACCTCCACTTTGGTCGGTACTTCAATCCATTATACAAAATGAATTCAAAATAGAGCATTGGGGGGTACCTGGGGAGCTCAGTCGGTTAAGCATCTGACTCTTGATTTCAGCTCCAGCCTTGATCTCAGGGTCGTGAGTTCAAAGCCCTGCATTAGTCTCCAGGCTGGGCTTGGAGCCTACTTAAAAAAAAATAGGGCATTGACCTAATTGCAAAGCCTAAAACCCTAAAACTTCTAACACACACACACACACACACACACACACACACACACA